AACTGCAGGGACTAGTCCAGGCAGTTGCCAGGAGTCAACACTGACTTGAAGGCACAAAAAACAAAACAAAAACCCAAGTATATTGTGGAGGACAAATACTATACTGGAGCTTGCTTGCTTGCTTATTGATTGATTGATTGATTGGATTTCTCTCCCGCCCATCTCCCCTACAATAGCTTATAAACATGATTGCTGTAAGGGATTTTGAATTGCTCGAACAGAGCAGGCAAAGTGAAACTGTCTGCTGACCCTGGAGGAGAAGGAGGCAGATAACAGAAACCAGGTTGTTGCCTTTCGTTTGGGGTGAAAGGAGTCAATATATGGGCACAATAAAGGACACTGTTTATCTTAGAGAGGGCTAATATCAGTAGAAAGGGTGGGCTGGGAGCTTCCTTAGAAGAGTGGAATTTAGAGGCACCAGGTCAGCCCATGGTAAGGTCACCCATGCTCTTATCTGATACTACATTCTAAGGTCATGTCATAATTTGCATTGCCTTTTGTATCCCTTATGTATCATTTTGAAGGGTATATAACCTGTAACCCTGTGGGCTTTGGGAGCCTTTTGCATTCCTTTAGTGAGGAGCCCAGTGATCACTGCAGCCATGCGTGCCAATAAGACACTTTGTTGCATCTATCTCCAAATGCTTTGGCTTCTTATTTAAGTGGGCATTTTCCCCACAACAAACTGGCAGAATTGGGGCAGTCTGCTGTATTTAATATTAGCTTTCTCTACATGCTGCTTTTTGGCCGAACAAAATGTGCCCACTGCCCCATCTGTATGTATAATATATAATATATACAGTGAGATGGGCGGTGACAAATTTGAAATATAAATAAAATAAGTAGAGTTTTTGATTAGCTGCAATTCACACAGGAGAAACGATTCAAGGCATCTCTCAGCATCTTCTTTCTGCTGCTTCTGTCTCTACCAGACAAACACTACTGTCTGTTTAAGATTGGCATTCAGCCAGGATCTTTACTCCTTCTATACAACACAGAAACATCCAGCCCATCTTGAGCTGCTGAAAATTTTAAATACACCCCAAACAGGACCAAGTCTCTTCACACCGAGAAATACCAGCTCATTAAATCATAATGGGTGCGGCAGCAACAGGAGGGCGGTTGGAATAATGGAGTATTCAGCATAGTGATTAACTGAACCCTGATGTGCAGCAGAGAGACAAAACTCACATGTTCATAATTTTACTAATGAGAAAGCCCAAAGTTGTCTGAATTTCTCAGAGTTTGGAAGTGCAACCATTAGAACA